TGAATTTTTAAACAGTACTTCATAAATTGTTTATCGAACTATCCAGACAAGCTTCGACAAAATAGAGAAGAAAGGTACAACGAATTCTTCGACGTTCAATGTTTTAGGCTGTTCTAGGTTTGGGGAAAATCAACATTGATTTTCGACCGAGTGCTTTTTAGACAACTACGGCTATTTCAAGCTAATTTTTCACTAAAGTTTTTAATAATAAATAATAATACACGGTCTACCTTACATCCCACGAGCGACCTTCATGTTTTTTCTATCTGTTTAGTTGATGTCGTAAAGTTGAAATAATTATGGTCCACGCGGGTGAATGAACGGATGAGAGGTGTGCGGGAGGCATATTAATTTGAAAATATTGCTCATCATATATTAAAAAAAACTTTGAGAATCCGCCTAACTGCATCACCTACACTGTAAATATTAATATATTGTTTCTTTTCTTTCTCTCTAGAGTACATTTCATATTGTATGTAGAACTAACGACCCGCCCCAGCATGTAAACCTTCCTCTTGAATCATTCTATCTAGTAAAAAAATCGCATCAAGATCCGTTGCGTAGTTTTAAAGATCTAAGCATACATAGGGACAGACAGACAGCGGAACGGCTTTGTTTTATACTAAAAAAACCCCAGGGAAGATCGGTTTTATCCTTTATGACTTTAATGTAAAGGCTATGAAAATAATAATATGGAAAGGAATTTAATCCAACAAGGTTGAAGGTATTAGTTTAGAAAGCCTTTCCAAGTCCGCGTCGTATACAGTGAACGATTACCCTTGCTTAGTTCGCTCTTTCCCATTATCCCGAGCGCGAGTGGTCATGGACAGGTGAATAGCGTCGTTTTCAAGGAGGGGCTTCTGAAGGAACTAGGACGCGACCCTGCGAAAGTATCCATACGTTCTCTCCTAGGTCGCATATCCTGTTTCAGCTCGAAGGCTAATCCCGCTATATCTGCATTAGCCCTGCGTTTTAATCGTCCTCTTTAGCCACTTGAAAATAATTTAATTTAGTATTTTTTTTTGTGATATTTACTTTGCTGTTAGCCTGGCCTGGCTTCGGTCTTTTAATTTAGATCTGGCACTAGCATACCATACATATGGAGACGTGATAGCTCATCATCCGAGCGCTCGCTTTTAATTCAATGTACTCCAACAACCTGAGTTCGATCCCCGGTGCCGGCAACAATGAAATTGTTAATTTTAAGTGCTGACTAATCACGTGTTCTCGGCCGTTAAGGAAAACATCGTGAGGAAACCTGCATATTTTCGAAATAATATTCGAAAATAAACGATGATTTTAGTACATTATCTGACAATGGGCTATGTCCAGCGGTGGACTGCAATAGGCTTATAATAATGATGGTGATAATGTTTGACAATATCCGTATTGATCATAAACGGATATCTCTCTTTATGTCTCTTTTTGCCAGTATTTTCTTTTTTATCCTTTTGAGTATTCGAATTATTATTTCTTCTTTCAGTCCAGCTGACTTGATACACTTTACACGTTTCTCTCTTAACGGAACCTAATTTGCTTCAACCTCATTATTTCGTCGGCCTATAATTAGCGATGCTGGTAAGCTAACAGCATTTCGAGAGGTCATATCGATCGATCGGTTCCGATTCTATGCCGGCGCTCCCCTCTATCGACTAACTACTCGCTACATCATTAGAGTGAGATATTCTTTCTCTTTTTAAAAAAAAACATTGCCCTTACTTTAGGATAACACTATCCTGTGTTGCAAGTACGTTTTACATACATACATTTCACGTGGAGAAACACTAAGATGCGAAACAACTATCTGTGGGTCACACAAATAGTCGTCCCGTGTGGGAATCGAACCCACGACTCTCGACGTCGAAGCCTTGGCGACTGTGCCACGAAGTCATCGAGATGTAGTCATTTGTCGATTGGTGAATATTTATGTGTAGTTTGTGTAGAAGATGGACGCTGTAAATTATTCGAAACGTTTGGAATTTATAGTCGGACGTTCATGATATTCGCGTATTTTTGTGTTTAATTCCTGGTTTAGGCCAACAATTGAACTGTTCGTTAGTACGTCTACTGCAACAGTGTTTAAACGTCTGGGAAATTATCAAAACAATGAGCTGTTTTTTTGCCAATTACCCGCGTTAACTACCTTTATAGACACATATCTTAGAAAATAATAAAAAATTAAAAGATTTTTAATTCAATGTGGACCTGGGTGACCATACGTGACGTATAGGAACGTCTGTTTGATTTGAAATTTCGCACACTGGATAAAAATGTAACTAAAATGAACTTGTCTTTTCAGGATCATATGGAAGTAAAATACTATAGAATCTTGTGATATTTTTAACCCTAGCAGCGCCAATTGTTCTTCTCTCCAGTTGTACGTACGAGTTTATTTGATATCAAACCTTGTCTGAAGTCTTTTGTTTCAAACCTCCCAACTTAAACTTGTTTCCTGGTAAGTTTAACATTAATGATCTTGTAGATGTATTGTATTATTTGAAAGGCCGTGTTCGCGTACGGTAAAAATCTATGATACCTGAAAGCATGCCCAATTTTAACGGTATCCGCGTGTATATTTTTTTGCATTGAAAGTCCAAATGAATAAATACTATCTCGACGGCGAGAGGATCGCCCAGGGCGCGGGTCGAACCCGTTCGCGGTTCAATTAGCGCACCCTCGCCGCCGCGCGGTGCCGGTTCGATGCCCCGCTCGATCGGATTTTTTTTTTCTCTTTTAAGTCTCCACACCAGCGATGGATATGGACGTCGGTTCGTACGCGGGCTCGCTACGTTCTATGTTATCGACGCCCTCTTGTGCCGGAAACTGACCAATTTATACAGTTGGCGGTGGGCCTGTTTGTCGGTTGCTTTGTTTTCGAATGGTGACTTTTGCAATAATGGCAAGTGCTTGGATGCTCTTCATTAGACGTTGACTAGTCGTAAAGTTTTTGACTTTAATTAGTCTGAATATTTACTTGTCACATACACGACTGTGATGTCTGTTTGGAGCAAGTTTATATTTCGTTTGTGGTCGTGAAGGTGCGTCTCGTCGTCCGAAGTTGTTTTCCAGATTCAACTCAACGCGGAAATCATTGCGCGCCTTGTATTGTGTTGTACAGACTGCGGATTCGATCGCGTGACGTCTCGGTGGCATGCCGGGGCGGTCATGCGGATTTATGCTAGGTACTATTGTTGTCGGTTCGTTTGGCGGAAGGCGTCTTGATGTTCGATGACATATCCCATGTCGTGGAATACACGTGAAATCCAAATACACGTGGAATCCATTTCCGAGGCAAGGATGGACCTCGTATAACTTGCATCAAAGTGTATTTCCGCTGCCCGTTTAAAGTATTAACTCAATAAGATTATACAATTCATGTATTAAAATTTGTAGAAAAATGTTCGAAATGTTTGTCGCCGTTGCGGGATTTGGGTCCAGACGCTTTACGCAGTAAGCTATGTTTTATAGCAGTAAGTAATGTTTCGTATTAAGTGCAGAGTTCGAGAGTCGTTGTACTACAAAAAATTTTATTGCTCATAGTTTCATTTAACCAGAGTGACTTAATCTATATTCGTTTTGAGCTGTAACTTTATTGACGACGATGTTACTATTGCTTGTATCAGAGGTGTGTTTTTTTTAAAGAATGAAGTCTCAAAGGTGATTGCTTGTAAAAAAGCGAAGATTTACACCCTATACTGCATGTACACCTAAGCTATTAGTGCTATTTAAAACTAAGTTGCTATTTAAAATTAACTCTATGAACTACAACACATCTGGAACCCTCGAGTGTGGCATGGGCGGCGGTATTCACATCAGGTGAACCGTCTGCTCGTTTGGCAACTTTTAACATAAAAAAAATGTTTATACAGTGTACGTACATAAAACCTTGTATTACATGGCACATACGGCAAATGCTATCTAGTATTCCTGTTGATTTGGTATCAACACTTGCGGTTGGATGCAATGTTACGTCATTGACGTCGTATTCGTCATTTATTAATATAGTCATTAACATGACGTCCTAATTCATCCTGAGTTAAAAATAATTTTGCGTGAAAGTTAAAGTTTCATTCGGCTGCTTCTAGAATGCAGAATTTATTTCAGACGGTATATTTGGAGCGTCTTGACGTTGGAAGTTACTAATGAACTAGTTTGTTCATCGTGCCTACTAGCACAAACATTGTTCTCCTTGGAATTTTACGCTTAATTTATAGGCTTTTGAAATTCGTAAGTTTGTTCGTTTTCATTTATTACTTCTATGTAAATGTGGGCACTAACTAAACTTAAAAAATATATCAATGTTAAAACCTTTCATAAAAGATTCGAATATGAAAAAATTAGAAAGATACTTCGGAACCAGTTTACTGCATTGTGAGTTTTTAATGAACTTGTTTTTTTTGTTTCGTTTTGCCCCCAACGCCCCTCAGAAATTCAGGTCTAATGTTGAATTTTGTTGCGCAGTACCGGGGCCACGTGGACGGATTGTATCTAATTAAAACTTGGAGCTATTCGTAAACACGGAATTCCATCTCGTCATTTAGCCTCCTGATCGTCGATAAGTTAAAGTCGACGTTTCGAGTTTTGAGTCGTGTCTATAATTATGTGTGGTGAGATTTGTGCGAGTATTTGGGCGTGGTCCGGTGTAATAAATGATAAGATAAAATTTCAATTACTGCTGTTATAATTAAGCGCACGCTACACTGGAGGACGACTGCGTAAGGTGGAAGCATTTATACTATGGCGTTTCATATGGATAGTGGGGTAAGCAGTGCCGACAATGCTGGATTCCGTGAAAGGCGTTCATTTATCATCAGGTTATCTCATCATCATCATCATTTCAGCCTGTTTGAGTCCACTGTCCATACAATACAGTAGTAGATATGCAGCCGTTTAAAATAAATCATTCCGCTTCCCGAAATATTTCACGTTAAATACGCTAATTTAAAAGCAAACAGAGTGCGGCAATAAATAAAAGCGACGCAACCGCCATATTTCTGCAAATGTCTACGAATTATCCTTCTACACGCCGCTTCGGTGCACACGTCGGGCTTAAGCTTGAGGACGGGGCGTTGGCGGCTACGTCGGCTGCCGCCTCGACGACCGCGCGCGGGCCGCGGCAGTCGTGTACTGCCACGCCGCTGTGTCGCACGTTCCTCGAAAGGAATTTCAAATTTCGAACCGCACGTGCCTTCCGCGTTCGGTGTTTGTGATTTGTTTTTTTTTTCCTCTTCCACTTTTATCGTGTGCCAGTGCTTTTTAAACCTCTAACGGTCTCCCACTGAGACTGCTTCCAGAGGGCGAGTGGTGCCCGATTCAGTGTTTTGTGGAACGCGTCGTCGAATTCGAAATTCACGTGGTTGGTTGGTATCTTATTGTTTTCGAGTCGGACCGGTTTTCGTGTAATAACGATTGGCGACTTGTGAATGGAGTACCTAGTTCGATAATTCTCCCGCTCGTTTTATTCAAAGACGGTTTCGCAACGTTAACGTTGCGCGTATTAAATGTCGGTTCGACCGATTCAATTAATTGTTATAATTGAATCGTAAAACGTTTGCATGTTGTAATTTATGGCATGGTTTAAATTTGGAACCTTGTTGAAAGAATTCTTTATAGCTTCGTAGGAAATATTGGAGGATGCCGATAATAACTTGGCCCTAGTTGTAAAGCGGCTTTTTATGAAAATTTGTTTGGATCTTTTTTTATCAATCATTCGCCATTGCGTACTTTTTACGACTGAAATGCAAACGAAAAGATGTGTCTGTCGTTACATTGATATGACACAATGTCTAACAGTTAAATCAAAGTTAAAATATTTATTTAATATGACGTTGCCACTTATATCAGTATCAATTTACACACTTCCTACTTTCATGTTAGATTGTTGATATCAAGGAATACAACAAAAAACCTAATTCTTAAAAGTGATTTTGAAAAGTCTACTGAAAAAAGTGCAGCAGTCAGGAACTGCGGTTGCAAATTGAACTAAATGTATAAAAAAGGTGATAATGTTTAATTGAACCAGATGCCAAAGAGTGAAAAAGTTTTTTTTAGGCTGATAACACCAATAAGAAAGTTTACGATAAATATTAGAATTAAATTACACCATACAGATTAAATTGCCTTGAAGACCTATACTAGAGCTTCTGCCAAAAGTTAGCGTGACGCTGCGAAACGCGAAACATTTTTAGGTTTTTTGATGAGTAATAAATTAATTTAATACTGGCGACTAACTATATACAACATATCAACCTTCCTCTTAAATCACTCTATCTAGTAAAAAAAACCGCATCAAGATCCGTTGCGTAGTTTTAAAGATCTAAGCATACATATGGACAGTCGGACAGCGGGACGACTTTATTTTATACTATGTAGTGAAGTCGTTAATCTTGTAACTAAAGTTAATACAGGCGATAAGATCCCGATTTTAAATATGTTCACGAGTCTATTTTATGATTAGAACTGGAATACACTAGCCGGTAGCCAAAGGTGCCTGCTATTATATTCGTAGTACAACCGGATTCATATAGGCTCTCCTTTCTGTAGCAGCGGGTTTTATGAAGAGATGTTTTTTTTTTCAATCGACATCAAAAAGGGGCGAGGTACTCAATACGGTTTTATGTTTGTTGCCCCCAGAACTCCGTCATTTGTGAATCGATTTTAAAAATTCTTTTTTCATTCGGTCTAGGTTAGCACCCATGTGGTCCCGTACTAATTTCATTGCTACCGGACCTTGGACTTTGACTATTGAGATCTTTAAGGGGGTTAATTAAGGGTTGAAGTTATATGATACAGAGGGGATATACGGTCAATATACATATTAAATTAATGTTTAGAAGGGGTCGTGCATTAATTAATAGTCCCCGATCAGCTTTGGGCTTTATCGGTCTGAACTTTTTCGATTGCGAAAGTTTTACTGCGCGTTCGAAAATTTTAATACGCTTCGAAACGTAATTGAAAATCACCCCTTTAGGTCTAATTATGTCCCGACGAGCTCATTCCATGGGTAAATTTTTGAGAAAGGTCTTTAATATTGATGCTGTCAAGCTTTGGGGAGGTCGAAATCAAATACCAAATGACTTGCCTGAATACAATTTTGACTGGAAATAAATAATATATCGATTTTTATTTACGAAATAAAAGTATAGACTTTGCTTGGGAATAGATTAAGTTGTGTACAATTGTGACCTGTAATATTTTTTTTACATTATCTTTGAGATGACGTAGTTTTCTATTTGAAACATAGGCTTCAATTATTTAAAAAAAATAGGGTCGACTTGATTTCGAAATTGACTACCTAAATACTGCCGACATACTCGTCACCGTACATTATTTTTTTGTTATAAAAAACGCATGGTTTTCGTATTGAACAATTATACTAATTCAGTATCATATTTATAATTAAGAGACACGAAACGATATGGACCCGGGCCGTCGGGTTGGATATGTGGCGGACTGAAGAGGAGAGCGGCGCGGAATGCGTAATGGACGCTTGTCCGGTTATGGTGACCATTGGACGAGCGCACGTGTCTTGATTTAATAGCCCTCAGTCCATGATCTATACTCTAAGCTCTATATGTTATATTCTATACTCTATGCCGCCTCGCTAGTGAACTCGTGAAAAAGCATCTAACAGATGGCATATAGAAGATGTAGCAGGTTTTATTATGTTATGTTGGAATTCTTTGTTTGTGTACTTACTTGTTTTATTGAAGACTTTATTGAAGGGATGCTGTTCGATACGCGTATGTTATTGCCTTAAGGTTTTTTTCGCTGCAACGAACTAAACCTTAATGAACGATCTTTTAGTATGTATTGCGTTGCTGTTAAAATATTACACATAAAATACTTTACGTTATTTGTGTTAAGTTGTCAGCCCATCGGATTTTCTCGAAATTTTTAATGTCAACGAGATTTCAAGAATCAGATGTCTACTAGTAAACCGTGTGAGCTCAAAAATTATACTCGTAGCTCCGGGGGGTCCTACAGTTCTTTCATACAAATCGTCCAATATTCAACGGCGTTACCGGTAATTACTATTCTACGAAAGCTTCGTTCCTACGCTATACCATCAGTGCGTTACGACACCACGTAAGCACGCTTCCATATAATTCCATAGACGACAAAAACCTTCCTATCACTGTCTTCACATTTAATTTGGTAATGGAAATACGAATACGTTTGATAAAAATTAGATGGAAAAATTTCACTCCATGGGCACTGCCCTTTAAGGACGCGTTTACGAATTCACGCGCTTCAATTTTAGGTACAGAGGCGTACTACTACACGTGCACGGCTCACGCACACAGCGACAAGCGCGAAGCAGCGAAACTTTATGTAACTGACGCAACTTGATACTTTTATTTAATTTGAAGTCATTTATTTTTTAAGCTTACGTTAAATTTGTTTTCAACAAGTTTTTAAACTGAATATTTTTTTATATAATTATTTAGGTATAATTTATTAAATTTCATTTAAAAGCTCGTAGCTGTTGATAATTTGCGTTTTAATTAATTATGTATATAATTTAATTTTATGTTTTAATTAATTTTTATGAAGAAAACGAAGCTTGTTTTATACATGTTTGATTATGCGTGCGGTAGGTAGATAGCTTGATAGGTAGGTAATGGTAGGGTACATAGGAAGGTAGCTATGTAGGCAGATAATTAGGTAAAACCCGCTAACGAATTGAGTAAAATACTTTGTATCGTATTCTGAATGCATTTTGCTGATTCAATAATATTCATGCTAAATGTTAAAAAAAAATAATTTTCTGTGAATGAATTGGAAATAGCATGGCGTACGAAGCCGGGCTAGTATCAAGAAACTAAAAATGAAATAATAAAACGAAGGAAACAAACTAGTAAAAATTAAAAAACATTTTTATAAAAAAAAAACCTGTCGCACTCGGCTCAGCTGGGGTAAAGCATAGCATCTTTAATTTATGCGATTATAATTATTTAATTATGCAGTATTTTTTTCTTTGATATTTATATTTATGTTAATAAATAATATTTTAATAATATAATAATTAATATATATTATAATTAATAATATATAATTAATTTACATTATTTACAAAAATGATAAGAACTACTAAGTCAGTCACTAAGCTCTGGATAGTTAAATTACAATATACTAACATTTTTAAACTTGTGATCTCTTTCGAATGGAATGTCCGAATTTAATCATTCAAAAAGTTAAATAAAGATATTGAAACAGTCTTAAATATAAAGTAATTTATTTTTATAAGGATTAATACCAAGATACAAATAAAGAGCCTTTTCTAGCGGCGGCATTTCAATCAAAATTTTAAAGTAAAAGAATACTTATTGTGGCATAACTATAATAGTTAGACATATACTGTCGAAACACTTTTTATAAATAATGATGTGTTCTGCAAATTCGTGGTACATTATTTTATACAATTATCAATAGTTTTAGCAGCGCACGCGATGCAAACAATATTTTAGGTAATTTTTGTACTTTGGGTTACATTATTCAAGTTTTAGTAAGGATTCCTAGTTTTTTGAAAATTTAATATATCCTATGTCATCCGGGGATAATGTAGCTTCCAGACAGTGAAAGAAATTTTCAAATCTGTTCAGTGGTTTAGGAGCCTATTCAATGCATAAAAACAATCAAATCTTTCCTCTTGCGTGGTAGGCGGAGTTAGGTTTTATTTTCATTACGGAATTTATTGATTCGTTCGCCGCGCTCAAAGTCCGCGATAAAAGCTGTGCAATAGCTTAAAAAAATATTGTTTCATTTTTTAATTTGACTCTTCCATGCTCTTCGCCAGAACTGTCGCTATGTCGATCCCGGGTGGAGCAAGCCCGCGAGGCCAATTTATACCTCCGACACGAGGTTCTGGCTCCGCCTTTTGATGTTCACTCTATGGATAGGGAAGACCACACGGAGTCGGGGTGCCCTGTGCCGGATCTATGTGATTTTTCTTTATAGTTCTCTATCATTTAATTATTTTTGTTATCTATATCGAAGTAGTAGCCTGCTAAAATTTTATCGTTTTAGGCTTTGGCATCTGACACAACAATTGAGTTATAAGAGGTATAAATGTTGTATGTGATAACTGTGCCATAAAAATAAGTCTTTGATAATTTAAGTTGAGACCCACTACATTTTTACATAACTATTTTTTTTTTCGTGTTTTGCCTATTTTAAAGACGTTGTTACTATAGATACCATTTGT